CGCTATTTTTTTTTCAAGTCATTATTTCTTGCTATCTTTATCATTGCCTTGTAATTTTTTGTGTTACCAAGGAAAAGTTCAAATATTACAAGAAAGTTCAGTTTCGGATAATATAACCATGCAATGAGATTGATTTTTTTTGTCATTCTCTTCGGAAAGTTATAAATTTCCTTAGAGACATTTGAGCTACCCGGAATTTCCACATGGATTAGGACATACACTGACGATTCAAAATTCTATCTCACCACATTCAAAGATTTAGTTCAGAAAAGTTGAACCTAAGTGATCTTTTTTCCCGTTCTGTATCTGATACGAAATCTCTAAGGTGCTCTAACATCCGCGATTTTCTGTTTTTTCCAAGCAAGATGAACTTATAGATAGCAAGAATGCGAGTTGCAAAACAATAGCGATAGGATTTTCTGAACAACTCAATAATTCGTACTAATTTGAGTTTTTAAATCACTTTTTTATAGAAGGAGTACTACGTGAAAAAAGCCTTCTCGATAGTATCACCATCAGACGAGCACGTGATTAGAGGAGAACCAGTTACGGTGAAAGATTTTGTGACTTATGGGAAATGCTGCTGTAAAGGAAAGGTATGTGACAACTAGTTGGAAAGTTTATTGGACTAGTTTCGAGAAGTAGCGTTTTTTTAGTTGGTGGCCGAAATGTCATTACCGAAGACTGGCTACTTGCCGGGTGAAACGGTTGTTGGTAGCATCAAAGTCGGAAACAAATATCCAAAGGATATATTGCAACATGTAGGCTACTTGAGCTTTAGATTTATTCGTTGGAATCAAATTTGTATTATTTATGATGCAGATGGAGGCACGACTAGTTGATCGAGTTGTTCGTATTGGAGGACCAGAAAAGTCGTCTACATCTCCGTATCGAACACTTTTCTGCAGAAGAATCGAAATTCCAGAATTAGTAAAAGCGAATCGAAAGCTTCAAAACGATGATCTTAACCTTCTTACCATACCTGCGGTATGCCCCTCCACAAAAGGTTGGTAAAAATCGCTTTGTGGTACAAATTGCTTCTATGATACTGTTTAGCGGATTATGATCCAACCA